AAGTCCACTACCATCTTTTTAATTCATTTTATCCCAGACTGGAGAGCCAGCCATGGGCTGTGTGTGTGAGCTGTGAGCATTTTGAGCACACAAAGTGGACTGGACTGACAATTCTGCTCTGTCTGGGCTGTGCACATATAGGTCCCTTTTGCTTGCTCTGGGGCTTTGAGTCAATCTGCTGACAGCAAGACATGAGGAAGCTAGACTTAACCCCCTGAAACCTGACCCCTTGCCTCATTTGAATGGTTTCTCCCCAATACACCCAAGTTCAAGGTGTGCTCCCTCTCTTTGTTGTCTGCCATGCCTCCCTTGTGGGAGCTGTGGCTGAGAAGTGGTCACTAAACCCAAAGAAAAGGTACTTTCTGTGTCTGTGTCTTTATTTAGTCCCCAAATTCACTTGGAGTGACCATGACTGCTTTAGTCGGTTTAGTCCCGTGTCCCAACAAATGGTGGCCAGTCCCGCAGGGCTCCAACGTGAATTCTGAGAATTGGTGGGTTTGTTTATTTTCTCTCCAGTAGTGAAAGCACGCATAGATTTTAAGAATATGTGGGTTGATTTGTAAAAGGGGGAGAATTAGAAGAAAGTCAGTGACCTTAAACTTCTAATATCTGGAAATTTTTCATCTTTAGAAAGATAAAAATAATTCTTATTTTGCAATCCTAGAGACCATAAATAAATGTAAGGAATTATTAAGGTGATTAATGGGACATTGCTAAGTTCAGTCCTCTCCCATAGGAAAAGCACTTTCGTGGATTTTTTTTTCGTGAATTTTTATATTTTGAAATAGTAGGTAAAGATTTTTGGGGTTATATGCTAGAAATCTGCGCTTGGAGAGTGAGAGAAAAAAGGGAAAGATTTTTTTATGGTTAGACTTGATACAGGGGATTTTTCTAATTCTAAAGACAGATTTTGTTTTTCTGCTGTTTTGGTACAAATGCAAGACTTCAGCCACTATTCCCCAAGGGGCCTGTAACTAGACCCACCGCGAGGATGCAGGGAGACAGTCTTTTGACTGAGAGAGTGCTGCCCACTTGCCCAGGCTCCAGGTTCCTGGAGCTGGAGGCACTGAGGCGCTGAACCCTGGAGGCTGGCAGGAACACAGGCGGGGCCACCGCCCCGCCCCCCAGGAATCCCGGGCTCTGGCCGGGCAACCTCGGGAGCATCCAAATGGGGCTGCCCCAGAGGGATTCCAAGCGGAAACAGATGAGCATCCAGGCATCTGGGGTAAGTTTTGGGATTAATGCCCAGAGGCAGCACTGCCCACGGGACCCTACTTGGGAACCACTTGGTGCTCAGGGTTCTGGTGGGGTTGCTGTCAGGAAAAGGACAGGTTGCTGGTCGCGACCCCACTCTGAGCAACAGGGTCCCAGGACAACTGGTGGAAGGCCTAGGAGCCATGCAGTCACAGAGATACCCTGGGCGGGGAAAGGTGGACAGATCAGGGAGTGCGTGGGAAGCTCTGGGAGCGCTTGACTTCCCTAGGCTGGGCCCCTTGGGTGCACCTTCTCCCAGGTGCGGGCTCCGCAGTGGCAGCGAAGGGCGGCAGTCAGGCCCACCAGCTCCCCCCACTGCTGCGTAGGGCCGCTAGCCCCTCAGCCCAGAAACAGGGGCTACCCTGGACCTCCGCGATCCCTGCGACCCCAGGGGACATGGACACAAGTTGCCAGCCACAAGCTCCCGCCCCAGCGGGACGAACATAGGCGGAGAAATGACCAAGCACCAAACAGCGCAGCACCAAGGATTTTTGCGTGGGCGCCAGGCGCAGTGGCTAATTCCGGTAATGCTTGATTTGCTACCCTGCCTTAGGTGGCCACAGGCCTCAGCAAGAGCATCAGCCATTGGTCACAGTGGCCACGCCCATTGGCTCCTGGCTTCCCAGGTTACTAAGGCAATCACTTGGGGTAGTCGGGAGCAACATGAAAGATGCAAGGCTCCGGGCACAAGCCACCTGGCCTGGCGAAATACAACCAGGACTGCTAGGGTCAGATCAAACAATGCAGGAGATAAAAATCCCAAAATTTCAGGTAAAACTCTGGTCTATAGAAAACCCTGAAGAGTTCTCCAGCTACATGGGGGCGGGGGGGGGGGGGGGCGCAACATGGTGGATAAGTCCCACCTCCCGTATTTTACTCAGGTTTCCCATTGGTTCTTCCTCTGTCACTCAAATGGGGCTTCTGGGCCCGCCTCCTATTTATTAACCCAGACTTTATGTCTCACACTGGCAACTGGAATTAAGAAACCTGTACCCATCTGTTAAAAAAAAAAAAAAAAAAAAAAAAAAGGAAATCTTCATAATTTTAATGCATTCCCACTAAGAAAGATTTCTTTTTCCACACAAAATATGGTTCAACAGGCACCTACATTGCAGCCCTGATCAGGCCTCACTTGTTCTCAAAGTTAAATAACCTAATTTTTTCTTTATAGCTGTATTATTAAGAGAAGTTGCAGATGTAGCAATTATAAGAGATAAATATGCTTGCTTATGTTTTATTTTTGGAGGTTATGAGGATACATTTTGCTCCTGCAGGAACAGAAGCCAGCAACCTGGGTCAATTTTCTCACAATGTTCTGGTGATGACCAAGAAATCCTTATTCTTTTCAATTCTAACTATGTAATTATAAGAAATAAATATAATATACACAAGGATCTTATTTCAGCTACATCACATGACATCACATATAAGAGTGCACTCCTAGTTAAAAATAAGTTTATCACTGAGAAAAAAATGACTCTGAAAATAGTTATCCCTAAAATATTAGACAGGTAGCTATAAATAAATCAGCTCAAAAGCTGATAGCTTGGGCTGGGGATGTGGCTCAAGCGGTAGCGCGCTCACCTGGCATGAGTGTGGCCCAGGTTTGATCCTTAGCACCACATACAAACAACGATGTTGTCTGCCGAAAACTGAAAAATAAATATTAAAAAATTCTCTCTCTCTCTCTAAAAAAAAAAAAAAAGCCGATAGCTTATTTCAATAAGAAATTTAACATGATAGACTTTTTCTCAATGTTAATAATGAGGTAATGTCCTATAAACATTAATATTTTTGAAATTATTAAACAATAAATCACACATAATTGTTCGAGCTAATATTGCTACACAAAATACAACTGTTTTTATATGTAAAAATTATTTTGACATAAATCCATCAATATGTCATTGCTAGCTCAATATCATAAAATTCTAAATTAAATTACTGTCTTAAACCATACTGTTGACTTGTTTTTACCCATTAATATTTAAAAAAAATTTTTTGGCTCTTTCTTTTTTAATATATTTTATTTTAGTTGTAGGAGGATGCAATACCTATGTTTAATTTATGCGGTACTGAAGATTGAACCCAGGGCCCCACACATGCAAGCGGAGTGCTCTACTGCTGAGCCACAGCCCCGGCCCCCACTTTAATATTTAAGATACTAATTCTACACACTTAAGTCAACACTAAGTTTGATAACAATAAGAATAGTTTTTTATAGATTGGTAAATAAAGGACTATTCATGTTTCTATTTCATTTTTTTTCTTAATGGTAAAAAACAAAATATCTTTTCTTGGCTTATTTAATGTGTACATCCTATTTTGGATAGATGTCTATATTTTTCTCATGCCCCTGATAAAGACCACCACTCCTAAGTTAAAAACTCTGTCTCTAGCCTCACCCCAAATTAAGATTATTATTTAAGTTAATCTAAAGCTAATTTCAAAGTACAAGTTTTATATACAGCTTATTATATTCTTCAAAATTAAGTTGTACAATTAGTGAAGGCTAAATTTCTACTTGACATGGTCCCTTTCCAATCCATTAATGTTCAACTTAACATAACTAGTAGATGACTTTTGTCAAGTTTTATGACCAGCTAGAGATAATAGATCCTTTCTTATTATTTAAATACTGTACTATTGTCTATAACTTAAACTAATTATACTATGGCTGAATTCAATTTTATTAAATAAAGAAAGGGGGAAAAACAGGACCCTATATGCACATACTGGATCTTACATATTTCAAAATTTTACGTAAATTGTGATATTAAAAGTCTTACTGTTACTGAACATGATCCAGTAAATTAAATCAGATTTCAAAGGAGAGTTTAAACCTGTCATCATGAAAATAACTGAAAAACCTGGCACAGGAAGGTAAATTTCCAGCTGTAGAGTTTACAGCCAAATAGCTTCACGAGCTTGTCAGATAAGTAAAAAAAATTATGAAGAGACTTCTGTGAACCCATCTCTCAAGTTCACTTTTAGTGTGCATTTCAATGTGGACTGGAAAGTCCACCCATGTAACTAGACTAATTATACTGACTATAGTGGTCAGTTATACTTATATGTTGATCCTATGGCAAACAGGCTGCCTGGGAGTATCTTTTGAGAAAAAGACAGCATATAACAAACCTAAACCAGTTAATCATGCTGTTTCTTAGAAATTAAGACTATATATCTGGACAATTGTCAAAATAGAAAGATTGTTGAAATAGAATTTTCCTATACAGGCCAGTTATTTACACCAATGTATTATTGGCTAATCATCTACAATAGAAATTGGCATCTTTCCTAAGTGGGTGGATTGTGCAAATGATTGCCAGTATAAAATAAGGTGTCTATAAATAGTGGATATATTTTAGTCTTGTCTCCTAGAATTACATGAGGATACCATAACTCATAGAAACTTTAACCCTCACTGAGTTGGCTTCCAAAAAAATGTTTGATGTGTAACTTCTGCCTTCAGCATTTTTGCATTATTGACAGACTTAAAGACTCCTTAAATGTGAGAACTAAGAGAAAGGATGATTAAATATCCTGTAACCTATAAAAAATACAACTTACCTAATTGTACCACTAGTTATATTAAAAGAAAAAGACATTGATCCTTCCTCAATGTTCCATTGTTCTATTGCCATTTGGCATGCTGAAGTTAACATGCAGGCTTTGAAATAGATGAATGCCAATTAAGTAGACCTGGGCAAACTCTTTTTTTTAAATTCTTTTTATTTGTTTTAATTAGTTTTACATGACAATAGAATGCATTTATGCACTTTGATATACATGGATAGGATATAACATCATTTTTCTGAGTGTACATGTTGCAGAACCATATTGGGCATGCAGTCACATATATACAAACAGTAATAATGTCTGTTTCATTCTAATATCTTTCCTATCCTTACATCCCCACCCCTCCCCTCTCATCACTTCCCTCTGCCTAATCTAAGGTAACAATATTCTTCCCTAGTGACCCCTGCCTTATTGTGAATTAGCATCCGCATATTAGAGAAAACATTCTGCCTTTGGTTTTTTGGGATTGGCTTATTTCGCTTAGCATGATATTCTCCAACTCCAACCATTTACTGGCAAATTCTGTATTTTTACTCTTCTTTAAAGCTGAGTATATGTTGAGTATATATGCCATATTTTCTTTATTCATTCATCTATTCAGGGACACCTAGGTTGGTTCCATAGTCTAGCTATTGTGAATTGAGCTGCTGTAAGCATTGATGTGGCTGAGTCACTATAGTATGCTAATTTTAAGTCCTTTGGGTATAAACCAAGGAATGGGATAGCTGGGTTAAATGGTGGTTCCAGTCACAATTTTTTGAGGAATCTCCACTTTCCATAGTGGTTGCACTAATTTGCAGTCCCACCAGTAATGTATAAGTGTACCTTTTTCCCCCACATCCTCGGCAACATTTATTGTTGCCTGTATTCTTGATGTTTGCCATTCTAATAGGAGTGAGATGAAATCTTAGAGTAGTTTTGATTTGCATTTCTCTAAGTACTAGAGATGCTGAACACTTTTCCATACATTTATTGTTCATTTGTATTTCTTCTTCTGTAAAGTGACCATTCAGTTCCTTAGCCCATTTATTGATTGGGTTATTATTATTATTTTTTTGGTGCTAAAAATTTTGAGTTGTTTATATATCCTAGAGATTAATGCTTTATTGGAGGTGGATGTGGTAAAGATTTTCTCCCAATCTGTAAGCGCTTCCCTCACTTTATTGTTTCCTTTGCTGAGGAAAAGCTCTTTAATTTGAATCCATCCCATTTAATAATTCTTGATTTTACTTCTTGTGCTTTAGGAGTCTTGTTAAGGAAGTCAGATCCTAGGCTGATGTGGTGACGATTTGGGCCTATTTTTTCTTCTGATATGTGCAAGGTCTCTGTTTTAGTACCTAAGTCTTTGATCCACTTTGAGTTGATTTTTGTGCAGGGTGAGGGATAGAGGTTTAATTTCATTTTGCTACATATGGATTTCCAGTTTTGCCAGTACCATTTATTGAATAGACTATCTTTTCTCCAGTGAATGTTTTTGGCACCTTTGTCTAGTATGACATAACCATATTTACTTGGGTATGTCTCTGTGTCCTCTATTCTGTACCATTGGTCTACAAGTCTATTTTGGTGCCAATACTATGCTGTTTTTGTTAGTATAGCTCTGTAGTATAGTTTAAGGTCTGGCAATGAAGCTTCCTGCTTCACTTCTTGCTAAGGATTGCTTTAGCTATTCTGGATCTCTTAGTTTTCCAAATAAATGTAATGATTGCTTTTTCTAATTCGATGAAGAATGTCATTGGAATTTTAATAGGAAGTGCATTAAATCTGTATAACACTTTTAGTAGTATGGCCATTTTGACAATATTAATTCCGCCTATCCAGGAGCATGGGAGATCTTTCCATCTTATGAGGTTTTCTTAAATTTCTTTCTTTAATGTTCTGTAGTTTTCATTGTAGATGATTTTCACTCCTTTTGTTAGATTGATTCCCAGGCATTTTAAAGCCCTATAGAAAGAAGAACAAATCAATACCAAAAGCAGTAGAAGACAGGAAATAATTAAAATCAGAACTGAAATCAATGAAATTGAAACAAAAGAAATGATTAGAAAAATTGACGAAACAAAAAGGTGATTCTTTGAAAAAATAAATAAAATAGATAAACCCCTGGCCATGCTAACAAAGAGAAAAAGAGATAAAACTCAAATTACTAAAATACAGGACGAAGAAGGAAATACCACAACGGACACATCTGAAATACAGAAGATAATTAATAATAAAATAAAGATAATAATAAAAGATAATAAAGGTAATAAAAGAAACTATTTTGAAAATTTATACTCTAATAAAATAGAAAATATCAAAAACATTGAAAAATTTCTAGAAGCATATGACCTACCCAAACTAAATAAGGAGGCCATACATGATTTAAATAGATCAATTTCAAATAATGAAATAAAAAATGCCATCAAAAGCTTACCAACCAAGAAAAGCCAGAACCAGATGGATTCTTAGCCGAGTTCTATAACACTTTCAAAGAAGAATTAACACCAAAACTCCTCAAAGTATTCCATGAAAAAGAAAAGGAGGGAATCCTTCCAAACTCATTCTACAAGGCTAATATCACCCTAATACCAAAACCAGAAAAAGACCCATCAAGGAAAGAAAACTTCAGACCAATATCCCTGTTGAACCTAGAGGCAAAAATTTTCAATAAAATTCTGCAAATTGTATACAAAAACATATTAAAAAGATATGATCACGTGGGATTCAACCCAGGGATGCAGGGTTGGTTCAACATATGGAAATCAATAAACATAATATATGATATTAATAGACTTAAGAACAAGAATCATATGATTATCTCAATAAATGCAGAAAAAGCATTTGACAAAACAAAGCACACCTTCATGTTCAAAACACTAGAAAAACTAGGGATAGTAGGAATATACCTCAGCAGTGTAAAAGCTATATATGCTAAACCTAAGGTCAGCATCATTCTAAATGAAGAAACATTGAAAACATTCCCGCTAAAAACTGGAATAAGACAGGATTCCTCTTTCACCACTTCTATTCATTATCATCCTTGAAATTCTAGCCAGAGCAATTAGATAGAAGAAAATAAAAAGAAATTAAATGGATACAAATAGATAAAGAAGAACTTAAAATATCACTAATTGCTGATGACATGATTCTATATCTAGGAGATTCAAAAAATTCCACCAGAAAACTTCTAGAACAAATAAATGAATTCAGCAAAGTAACAGGATATAAAATCAACACCCATAAATCAAAAGGATTCCTGTGTAGCAGTGAAGAATCCACTGAAAGAGAAATTAGGAAAACTACTTTATTCACAATAGCCTGTGCAAACTCTTGATCTCATGATTCTTGAAGTGACTACTTTAAATATTTCATTGTTTCTACAATTACAGCCTTTATGGCTATGTTTTAAAAGCTACAAAATATAAATTTTCTTAATAATTTGACTTAAATTACTTCCAAGATTCTTCATAGTCAAATAAGTGCTGATGGAAAAATTGGAACTACATTGCACACTCGAGAAGCCACTATAATGAATAATGAGCCCTCTGCTCTTTGGTTTTAGGAAAGGTTTGAATGCCATGCTGACTATAAATATGTCTGTGTTACTATGACCAAATACAATGCTTCCCAATAAAATTGGGAAAAGATTAATAATCTTCTGACGAGTGCTTGGCAGAGTAATAATAATAATACCTGGGTCCTTTGAAGTTAATTAAGTGTCTTTAATTCTAAAAATATGTTGAAACATTCTATATGATGTGTTATTGGAATTTTTTTTGTACTAATCCTTTTTGTGTCTCAATAGTAGGCTACAACGGCCTCGGACCAAGAATCCAATGACTGGAAGATATAATTCCCCAATTGCATTTATAAGTTACGAAAGGGGGAGATGTGGCGAGACAGGCATAGGCTGTGTGTGTGAGCTGTGAGCATTTTGAGTGCACAAAGTGAACTGGACTGATGCTGGTGCTCTGTCTGGGCTGTGCACATATGTGTCCCTTTCGCTTGCTCTGCCTTTGATTATCACACAGCAGCACATGAGATGGGCATGATCTTCCAAGATGTCAATCTGCTGACAGCCAGACATCAGTTAGCTAGACTAACCCCCTGAAACTTGGCCCCTTGCCTCATTTGAATGGCTTCTCTCCAATAAAACCCAAGTTCAAGGCATGCTCCTTCTTTTTCTTGCCTGCCTTGCCCCCCTTGTGGGAGCTGTGGCTGAGAAGCAGTCACTGAACCCAAAGAAAAGGTACTTTCTGTGTCTGTGTCTTTATTTAGTCCCCACATTCACTTGGAGTGACCTTGATTAGTTTAGTCATGTGCCCTGACACCAGACCATGTCCTGGAACCCCCCTAAGCCTTTTGATTGTTCTTTACTTTCTGTGATTAACCCCACAGTCTGGGATACTTCACAACCTACAATAACAAGACATCATTCCCTGATTCATATCCAGTTAAGAGACACCATCCATTATGTAATCCTTCCCCAATATCCTCTAACTCCCTTAACCCTCAGAGGTTTAAAGCCCATCATCTCCCAGTTATTGCAGGGCAAACTTCTTATACCAAACACCTCACTTCATAACTCGCCCATTCTTGGAGTAAAGAAATCCAATGGCCAGCTATGGCTCATGTGGCCATTGTTCCCACATACCCTGTAGTGTCCAACACTGACACCCTTTTATCTCATATCTCAACCTCCACCACACATTTCTCAGTATGAGACTGGAAGAGGCCTTCTTTACTATTCCTCTTGATCCAGACTCATGCCCACTTTTTGCCTTTACTTGGATAGACCCAGACACTAACTACTTGGAGCAGCTCAACTGGACCATCCTCCCACATGTCTTCTGAGATAGCCCCCACCACTTTGGCCAAGCTCTCCAACTCGACCTGGTTACCTAAATTTATTCTCTAGCCATCTTATACAGTATGTAGATGACCTCCTGCTCTGTAGGCCTTCACTAGAATATCCCACATGTTACGCTATCACCCTTCTTAACTCCCTGGCCCTCTGGGGTATCAGGTTTCTCAGTCTAAGGCCCAACTCTGCTCCTCTTGGGTACAATATTGAGGTATCCTTTAACCCACACCTCCTATAATATTCCCCCAGAGAGACTCCAAGCCTTAAAGGCCATTCCCCTACCAACCACCAAAAGAGACATGCTGTCCTCTTAGGCCTTTTAAACTACTCTCATATCTGGACATCAAAATTCTCCCTCATAGCCAAACCTCTTTATGAGGCATCCAAGGGAAATCTTTCAGATTCCCTTCCATCTCCCCATTCTTTTTCCTCTACCATTTCTGCCCTTCATAATTCCTTCCTAAAATCTTCAGTTTTTTGTTTTTTTGGTTTTTTTGTACTGGGCTTTAACCCAGGGCCTTGTGCATGCAAGGCAAGCACTCTACCAACTGAACTAATACTCCCAGCCCAAATTTTCAATTATTTATATACCAAACCCCAATAATCCCTTTTTCCTGGCCCTCAACTCAGAACACAAATAAGCTTTGGGAATTATTTACCAGAAGTCAGGAGATACTGTTGTAGGGGACAGATGAGTCAGGACACCCAGGACAGCAGGAAGCAGTTTTATTTGGCTGCAGCCAGATTTAGTGGATAGAACTTTTTCTATAATCAATTAATCCCCCTGAACCCTGAGTTCAGGCAGTTTGAGAACTTATTCTCAGTGTGTAAGAGAAAGGGCTTCACAGTTCACAGTCACCAGAAGTTTACACAAAAGCAGGTTTTTCTTTTCTTTTTTTTTAAAATTTCTTACATACATGACAATAATGGAATGCATTGCAATCATAATTATCCATCCACAGCACAGTTTTTCATAACTCTGTATATAAAGTATGTTCACACCAAATTATGCCATTATACATGAGCTCTCTTATTATTATTATTTTTTTGCATTACAATTCTTAATACACCTTTATACCACAATTTATCTATCTCTGTTTTTCTTTCACTGTGTTCTGGGAAAGTTCACCCTTCAAGGACAGCACCTGAGAAGGGGAGAGCTTCTTCTCCACATTCTTTCCTCCCCCTGTCAGCTGTTACCATGGAGCCCAATTAATAACATCTTCTCTTATATTTGAAATGTAAACATCTCAGTGAAGCTCTGGCTCAAGGCCAGAGGCCCAGTTAAAGGATCTATCTTATCACACTTTGCATTTGCAAACACACTTCTACAAACTATTCTATATGTTACTCATTCTAGATAGTCCGTAAGTCTTTGTGAAACACTAGTTAAGGGGTGTTCAGCACTGGAGTGCTGATCACATCTAGGCCAGTGACCAAGTAAGCTAGAGCAATAGGAAATAGGAAGTTTAACTACATTGAACTATTTTGTAGAGGATCTTCTGCTGATAGTCCTAAGATCAATTATGATGAAGATTTCTGGAGAAGCTTAGTAAAGATTTTCTGTAGAGGAGGGAGTGCCATGACAATACCCCCACCTCCATCCTATTGCATTCCTACCCAAACAATTCGACTTAGTTTATCAAAGCTGTCCCCAACACCTCAAGATTTTAGCAACATCAGCTCTAATGATCCTCAAGCCAAGAAAATTCACATTATATAACCCATTACTGTTCTTACTATACACTCCCTCTCAGATCTCCTTAGTCATCATTCATTTTTATCCCTTTCCCCAACTGGAGTCCAATTACTGCACGCACAACTCCTGGATCCCCTAACTACCTTCCAGCAAGATTCCTCACTAAACCCAGGCACTCTGCTCCCAACAAACCCCTCTGCTCCTATAATTTCTCATTCTTGTTCAGACTTTCTGGACTTTTTGATGAGTTCATTTTCTCACATAATGGATCAGCAATTACCTTACTCCCTTGACTGGTTCATACATGGAAACTCCCAGAAACATCCCCCTTATCTTGCTGGTTATGCTATAATTCAAGGAAAAATTACAGCAGATTCTTCTGTTCCTTACCCAGATATTAGAATTATCTCCCTTATTCCCAGAGACCACCTCGCAGCAAGCTGAGTTAGTGGCCCTGTTGCAGGGACAGACAAGGCAAGGCACCGAAGATAGCAGGAAACAGTTTTAATTGGCTGCAGCCAGGTTCAGAGGACACAGCTTTTGCTGTAATCAATCAACCCACTGAACCCTGAGTTCAGGTAGTTCCAGAATTTTATACCCAGCATGAAAGGGGAGCGTCTCAGAAGTTCACAGTCCACAGAAGTTCCCATAAAAGCAGTTTTTTTCTTTCACTGTTTTGGGCAAGTTAACCCTTCAAGGACAACACCTGAGAAGGGGAGAGTTTCTTCTCCCCCTCCTTTCCTCCCCCTGACAGTTGTTACCATGGAGCCCAGTTGCTAACTTCTCTTATCTTAGAAATGTAGACATCTCTGTGAAGCTCTGGCTCAAGGCCAGAGGTTTTGTAAAAGGATCTGTCTTCCTTATCACACTTTGTGAAGCATAGCTCAAGGTCAGAGGCTTTGTTTGCATATTTCTACAAACTACTATACTGGATACATGTTTGTGAAAAACTAGTAAAGGGGGTGTCCAGCACCTGGAGTGCTGATTTCTTCCTGGCCAGTGGCCAAGTAAAACAGGGCAACATGAAAATAGGAAGTTTATCTACATTGAACTCTTTGGTAGAGACTCTTTTGCTGACAGTCCTAAAATCAGCCATGGTGAAGATTTCTAGAGAAGCCCAGGTAAGACTTTTCTGTGAAGGAAGCGGGTGTCATTACAGCCCTCATGTAAGCTTTATCATTAGCTAGGGAAAAATCAGTCAATATTTTATGGATTCCAAATACGTATACAATATTATTTATTCTAACATTTTAATCTGGAGGGAGAGGGGCTCCCTAACTCAGACAAGAACCCCTTTAATACTAGCTACATAAAAATTTGCCCCACAAGGAGACAGTCTTATACTGTAAAGGGCATTGTATAGTAGAAAAGGCCAGCAAGGCCAGGAACCACAGACCAAGAATGAGGCACCAGGGGAGGAGTGGAGGGGGAGGGTGGCCACGCAGGGGTTAATTTTTTTTTGTCTGCCAACATTTTTGTGCACAGCCAGCTCCCTGTCTGGGTACAGTACCTACCAGCACCTAGCCCTACAGGCCCGATGGACCTGGGCGCCCTGCCTGTCCAGTAGGCGGCAGGTACCAGTCCAGCACCTGTGGACCCCTCAGGCTTCCCACCACCCACGGCTCCACCTGGGATGGTCTGAGTTGGCAGGGCTTAGCTGGCAGTGCCTCTCCTCCTTTGCCACCATCCAGCAGCATAGCGCCACAGAAAGAGCAGGATGGGCCTGTTGTGCCTTTGAAGATGGCAGCCTGAGACTTAAGGTATTCCAAGTGCAGTCCTTGGGGATGGGCTGCCTGTGCCATGGGCCTCATGGAGAGCGCCTGGATCCTGGGCACATGCCACAATGTCCACCCCTCTGCACGTGCCGGGCCTGGAGGTAGGTGGATCAGAAGTAAAAATCCCAGCCAAACAAGAGAGAGGGAGGGAAGGGGCTAACCTGTAAGGAACCATGTCTATACGGAAGTCCTTTAACCCGGAAAGTTATGAATTGGATAAGAGCTTCCGGTTAACCAGGTTTACTGAACTGAAGGGCACAGGCTGCAAAGTGCCCCAAGATGTCCTGCAGAAGTTGCTGGAGTCTTTGCAAGAGAACCACTTCCAAGAAGATGAACAGTTTCTGGGAGCTGTTATGCCAAGGCTTGGCATCAGAATGTTGCACCACAAGTGGCCACTCAAAATGTGAATCCTACACCTGGGGCCACCTCCTAAAGTAGACAGAAATAGCAATTTGGTTTTGTTGTTAAATAGATCTATTTCCTTTATCATCACTTCAATTAAAGACTATAAACAACAACAAAAATCTCACTGTGTCTACATATCTGGTGACCTTAGGTCGATTGTGAGTGAATACAACTAATAAAATGAAATCCATGGCCTTCTTTTCCTGTCACATTACATTAACTAAAGATGCCCCCAATCTTGAGCTAGCTTCTGAGTTGAGAATTAAATTGTTATCCAATACTGTTGATTCATTTTGAATCTTTAGACACTAATCTTTTTCTAAAGGTGCTTTCACCCATCACAGACATTACCGAGAGTAGTATCACATAGCAATTGTATCTTTTCATTTTATGTGTATTTATCATACCAGTTTGGTCTTTTTTGTGTGTCTTGGATGGTATTCTGGAAGAATAGATTTGGTAAGTGACAAGATGGTTTCCTGGTAGTAAGATGTTGCGTGATTCCTTTGTATCTTTGATTTGTAAAGCTGAGATTAATAACTCAAGAGCATCTCTTTGACCCAGGACATTCTCCAATAGTGCATTCAGTTCCACAAGGCAAGTGCTTCAGTCTGGCTTTGGTAGACACATTTACTGGATGGGTCAAGACTTTTCCAACTAGCAATAAGAGGGCTTTCACAATAGCAACCCTACTTTCCCAGGAAATAATTCCACTCTTTGGTTTACCTGCCTGCCTCCAGTCCAGTAATGGCCCTGAGTTTACTTCCTCTCTTACCCAAGAATTGGCTAAAATTTTAAATATAAAATGGAACTTCCACATTCCATATATCATCCATAGAAACCAGGAAAAGTTGAAAGGACTAATAGAACCAAAGGCAACCTTAACCAAATTATCTATAGATACTCATTTGGATTGGACTGAGCTTTGGCCTTTTGGCCCTTCTCCAAATCTGAGCATTGCTAAAAGCAAAAAACAAAACAAAACAAAAATCCACCAAAAATCAACCAACCAACCAAACAAACAAAAAACACCTCTCATAAGCAGCCCTTTTGAACTTATGTATGAGTGACCCCTCCTTCCCCGCATCATTCAACCTCATTTACCTAGTGTTCCTCTTGATATCTTAAAACTTTCTTAGCTTACCTTAGGGCTGCCCTCTGGAAATATGCCCATACTCATCTTCCCTGGCTCCAATCTTCAGAGACTCATGAAGTCCTATTTCAGTAGGGGACTTAGTCTACCTTTCCCCTCCTCAATGCAGAGCCCCCTTAAAAGGAAAATGGGATGGCCCATCGGAAGTCATTTTAACTACCCCTACCACAGGCCACTCCTCCTGGACTCACTTGAGCAGTGCAAAACTTGCTTCCTAATGTCTCTTATCAGTTTTTTTACACAGGCCCCATCCAACTTTACATTAGTTAACTCAGACATTCCTGAGGAAGCTGCCATGACTCACAACCAAAACTCCTGCTGTCCTTCTCCCAGACTTCCTTTCAACTTTCCTTAACATTACTCAGAGATGAATTAAGTTTACCATATTTACTCCCTCTTCACCTTTCTCCTCCTGAAGCATTAGACCTCATTTGACACCTCTGGCTTCAAGGATCATTGACTGACCTAACCCCCACCCAAATCTCTCCTCCTTCTGTTTTCTACATCTCATTTTTTACTTCACAAACAGTCACCTGGATCTGAAACAGCAGAGGCAAGAAGCAGCTGGTGAGTTCACTGAGAGTCCCATCTCTGCAGACAACCATGTTGAAGACTTGAGCATGGAAGGCAGACTCTCTGCTATGGGGACAAATGGATAAAATAACAGAAATAACTGGGGAGCAACTGGGGAAAATAGATCGACTTACTAGCCCATTAACAAGTTTATCATGCTGGTTTTTGTAATATGCACAAATATAAGCATAGCAATTGTATCTTTTCATTTTATGTGTATTTATCATACCAGAGATTTATTTGGCCCTTATTCCACAGCCTGTTATTGCTCACCCAGTAACATGGTTTGATACCCTTCTTCAATTTGTCTTAATTCCATCACCTTTTCTAGGTCCTTTGTAACTACTGGGTCCACCCAACAATTTTTGTTTAATTTCTCAGGATTTTCCTCCCGACTTCCACTTTGTGTGTCTCTCAATGACTCATATTGTTACCATGTCAAACTACAAACCTGGCTTCATGCCATCCTTGGAAAACAGGATTGAGAAGCCAGCTCACTTCTCTCACTGGCAGAGGCTCTTCAGCCTGGCAGGAAGTTCATGTTAATTATTCATTAAACAGATCCTATGCTTTCACCATAATCACAGGAATCCTCCACATAAATTGTTACAAGGGTCTGAATGTGTTACACCTTACCCACAATATCTTTCTGTTATAGGAAAACAGGGATCTCATGGGGGACTGATGGATACTCAATCTAGAGATATAGGCGGGACATTCTTTCAGGGGGATGATTTAACTCACGTTTATAGAAATAACATAGGTTCCAAAACCTTTATGTACTAATACAAGGGTGAATTATCACCTCCCACCATGAGAATGGATTTTGGGGCCATTTCAGAACTCTGTATGGGAAATAGGCTTAACTCAGGAGGTTTTAGGGGCTAGAATGGTGAGTGTCCATATGGGAAATCAAAAAATGTTATCTATCTTAACTCTTCCCTTCAGAAAGAATTCCACCTCACACAACATGTAGATTAAATCCCTCTATTTTAGTATCTGGGTCCATTCAAATACAATATAAGTGGACTGGGGATATAGCTCAGTTAGTAGAGTGCTTGCATTACATGCAAAAGGCTCTGGGTTCAATACTCAGCACCACACACACACACACACACACACACACACACACACTATAATGCCTCACGGAATATATATTATGTTAAATATGAAAACTGTATGTTGCAGTACTGTATCAATGGAACCATATGGCAGAGCCCAGAACACACTGTTAGGATTCTCAAAAGGCCAGTAGCTATCTCATTCCCTGTGAAATTGAAATAACCATAGCAAAACCTGTCCTCCTTATTGGATTAGCATTCAGGACAGGGACTGAGTTTTTGGCATAAACCCTTCTTCTCTCAGGATCCCTCCCAACATTCTGCCCTTATGCCCTTACATTTTGGCTCCCTTTGCCAGGGCTGGGCGGGGGAGGGGTGGAGGGCGGGCGAAGGGTGGAGGACAGGGACATAGCCCACAGGCCAAGACTGGGAACTAAGGAAGGAAAGGAGGTGTTCTGGTAGATTGGGTCACGCAACTCAAGGGTCTGCGTGGCCTGAAGAAAGTCAAACAGGATCAGAGCCTGGATGCCAATGAGCATAGCAAGGACCGCACCTGCCAGGGGTAAGGCGCTCTGGAGCACTGGGAGTCCTGCAGCTGCGCCTTTAAAGCCCCAGGCCCCTCTCCCGGACACTCTCTTTCTGGCCCACCTGAGTTTTTCCTCAGCTGCACCGTGCTCTGCTGTTCTGTCCTATGCTGTCTGCCCTATGTGTGTCTTCTGCCAGGGTTCCACTTCCTGCGATGGCGCGAAGCCAGCGAGGCCCCAGCAACTCCCGCTGCCTCCTGGCTGCCGGCTGTAGCCCTCTGTAACTGCTTTGGCATTAAGACAAAGGCTCATGCACGAGAACACAGTTCTCACACTTTCCAAAACCTTCCTTTGTCTTGCATTTTAGCTTTTATGATTCCGAGGATCAACAGTTTCTAACCATTGTGCTTTCATTTGTATTTGTATCTCTGTTTAAACACAGAAATATATAATATTGCAGGGCGGGGAGACATAGATTCTGCCAGCAGCACATTTGGGGGAAGTGCTAGAGATTGAAACCAGAGCCTCCAGAGTGCTAGGAACTGATCTGTCATTGAGCTACAGCACCAGCCCAAGGACCTTAACTCTTAAACAAAGAGGTTGCTGCTGAGTCTTATATTATTCATTCATTCATTCATTCATTCATTCAGGAATTGAACCCAGGGCTGCTTAACCACCCAGCCATATCCCCAGCCCCTCTTAAAAAATATTTTATTTACAGACAGATCTTGCTGAGTTGCTTAGGGCCTTGCTAAGTTGCTGAGGCTGGCTTTTAACTTCCAATTCTCCTGCCTCAGACTCCCAAGCTGCTGGGGTTACACCACCATGCCCAGTGCTGCTGAGCCTTATGAATCCTCAGCCAGCGGATGCCTGGGAGGACAGCTGCTTAACTGGGAGTGGGAGGTGCCAAATCTCAGCTGCAAAATCACAGTCATGACTTTAATAAACAAGGTTCTCAATGTTGTTCTTTATTTTAATGTGCAGAATCTTCTTATCACCTGGTGCGGGGCACATAGCAGGTACATGGAACAAAGAGTCTACAAAGGACAGCTTTTACAACCCTCGATGAATAAAGAATTTTTTTAAGAAATAATTTTTTAAAAAATTTTGGTGAAGATAAAACAAAATTTATTATCCCAACCATATTTAGGGTATAGTAAATATTCTCAGCCTCTGAATTTTTAATTATTTATTTCTGCAGTTAAACCTTGCCTGTCTTGAATGATACATTCTTTTTGAAAAAGTTTTTTAAAAATTTTCTTTTCGTGTTACAGGGATCTTGTAAAAAACGATGCACATTGTTAGAGTTTTAAAAAAATTCAGCCTGAGCATTTTATGTCTTTCATTGCTGAGGTTAGTAAATTATATGGGTTGCATATTTAGACTTTTTCTTAAATATTTGGACTTTTACTTGTCATCATATTTTCCATTTACTGTGCATTTCAGGGATTTATTTCCTTCTCTGTCTTTGTGTATTGGTTACTATATGGAATTTTCTTCTGCTGCTTCGTGAGTTACTTGTCATGTTAGTTGTCCTTCACCTGTGTTAGTTGTCCTTCATTTATGACCAACACCAATGCTTATTTGCATTTATCATTAATTTTGCTTTGCCCCTAATTGAACGTATCTGGCATATTTTCACATCCCTTTTGTGTGTTACCTTCAGTCCCATTGCCTTGCTACTGCTCAGAATTGTATATCTGGGTTTTTAAATTATATATATATTATATGGTATTGGGTTATTTATTATATATATTAATTATATATCTGGGTTATTTTCCATTTTTAGTTTTACTCTCTTCCCCTTTGTTGTTCATAGTCATAATCTGTTGTTTTTTTCTTTTTTCTTTTTTGGTACCAGGGGTTGAACTCAGGGGCACTCAAGTACTGAATAACATCCCAAGCCCTATTTTGTATTTTAGTTAGAGACAGGGTCTCACTGAGTTGCTAAGTGCCTCATTGTTGCTGAGGCTGGCTTTCAACTAGCAATCCTGTCTCAGCCTCTGAGCCACTGGGATTACAGGCATGCACCTGGCTCACAGTCATAATCTCTCTCTCTCTCTTTTTTTTAATCTTATAATTGGAGTGCTTTCTGCAAAGTACTTTCAACTTGGATCTTTTTAAAAACTTTATTGGTGCATTACAATTATACATAATAATGGGATTCATTATGCTATATTTGTACATGCAGATAAAGTTATTTGATCAATCTTTTCCCCCAGAACCTTCCTTTTTATTGCCTCCCCTTCCTCCTGACCCAGTTGCTCTTGACTAATATCCCTTTTGTTATTGTTATTATTTTAATTAGAATATTATAATTCTCTATATAAGCAGGATTCATTGTGGTCCATCCTTACATGGACATAGCATAGCATGATTTGGTAGGTTTTGTTCCCATGTCCTTCCATCCTCTCTTTCTCTCAATTCCTTTTCTCTACTCTACTGCCAACTTGGATCTTTTTTTTTTTCCCCCAACTTGGATTTTAAGGGGCAAATATTCTTCTTCTTCTTTTAAAAAATATTTTATTAGTTGTTGAGGGACCTTTATTTATTTATATGTGGGTGCTGACAACTGAACCCAGTGCCTTGCACATGCTAGGAAAGTGGTCTACAACTGGGCCACAACCCCAGCCCCAAATCTGTAAATATTGAATATCATATTTCCATGCAGCTCTATCTTCAGGTTTGCAGAGTGGAAGAAAAACTAATTTTTTCTTCAGTAAAAACACTTTAGTTTTTAGACAAAATGAATGCTGGGACTATATTAAGTTCACTTTCACTTCCAGAATTTTACAGATTCCATAAAACCAGTCCATGTTATCCTAGATTTATTGTAATTAAGATGGGAATTTTAATAAAACAATCATTTTCAGTAACTGGAAGCAGGTGCTAATCAAGCTTTAACACTAGTCATACTGTCAACTAAATTAATCAGATATGAGATATTTTATAAATAACAGAAGTTTAATGCATAAATTATAAATAGATGTAAACATTTTTAAAGATTAGACTTATACTGTGTGAAGTATAGTAACATTTTGCCTTTGAAAAGAAATCATCAATTTTGGATTTCACATAAGGAATGGTACCCAGGAAATAATATAAAAAGTCAGGAGAATTGTACCTTTAAGAGTACAGGGGCTGGGGATGTGGCTCAAGTGGAGGTGCGCTTGCCTGGTATGCATGGGGTGCTGGGTTCAATCCTCAGCACCACATAAAAATAAAATAAAGATGTTGTGTCCACCGAAAACTAAAAAATAAATATTAAAAAATTCTCTCTCTCCCTCTCTCTCTCACTCTCTCTCTTAAAAAAAAAAAGAGTACAAATGAGTAAGGAAATATTTATTACTGGAGCCACCTCATGGGATGCTTGGATGTTTACTACCAGGGGAGCGTTTCTTTTTTTACCTAGAAACAATATAGCTAACTGTTCCCTGTCTGGCTGGCATATGACCCTAGCAACAATGGAGCAGGAAATATTCCTACTGGAAACAAACTTACTTCAAATCTTCTTCTTATTTATTTATTTTATTTGTTCTTTTTAGTTTACATGACAGTTCAGTGTAATTGGACATACTTATGCAAACATGGACTACATCTTACTCTAATTAGGATCCTAGTCTTGTGGTTGTACAGATGTAGGAATTCACTGCGGTGAATCTTGTTTTGCAAACCATTTAGTCTAAGGTCCCTACTCCCCAACAAACTAACGAGCAACACCAGCAACAATGATGAAGAATATTGAAGTCTCTGATGCCTGCATTACTGGATGAGAATTAAAAATAGAGTGAATTAATATTTATTTATCTAAAAAAAGTGTTTGTGACATAAAATGAGAAGCCAACAACATGCATTTTTCATGAGAATATTTTGCTTTGTTAGTCCTGTGCCACAAAATGAATTTGACCTTTAAATAAGCAGATAATAAGTTTTATTTTCCTTTTTTAAATCCATAAGACATTTTTATTTTTTCTCCCACTATATTAAAAATTTTCACCTTTCAAAGTCTGCTTTCCATTTTTTAAAATGTTTTTAGTTGTCAATGGACCTTATTTATTTATTTATACATGGTGCTGAGAATAGAACCTAGTGCCTCACAAATGCTATGCAAGTACTCTACCACTGAGCCACAATCCCAGCTCTCCATTTTTGTTACCATCAAAATATTCATATCTCTTTATATCAGTAATCCTCATCTCACAGGAATATACTTGTCTTCTGTATGATTTCAGCGTGTAGAACATTCTTACCAAGTACTATTTGAATTTTTCCTTTCCCCTCTTTTATTTTATAAGAATTCTTCCTTACAATTTTTTTGGTCTCCACTCTTGCTCAAAAATATGCATCTTCCCTATTATAACATGTAGTGTCCCTGTCATTAGTGTTCCATGGCTGAGTCCGAGTGCACTATAAGCAATGCCTATTTTTTTCACAGATTCATCATTTGTTGGCAGCCCTTGGTGGGAAGAGGATGGCTTGGGCCCTGAGAGGCAAAGAAGTGGAGATGTGGCCTGTGGTGAGTACGTGTTGAGATCATCAGGATTAAGTAAAAATATCAGTTGAAATACATTGAGTTAAAGGAAACTATTTACAAATTATTTTTACCTTTTTAATGTTGTTACCGAAGTTTTAAAGTACATTTGTTACACGCACTAGACTTCTGTTAGAATTCTGATCTACAGCTTCTGTATATTTTCTTTTTCTATTTTTAAAATTTTAATTGATTTTTAAAATATGAGACAGAAGAATGTATTACAAATCATATTATACATACAGAGCATAATTTTTCATACCTCTTGTTGTATAAAAAGTATATTCACACCAATTCATGTCTTCATACATGTACTTTGGACAATGATGTCCATCACATTCCACCATCATTTCTATCCCCATGGCCCCTCCTTCCCCTCCCACCCCTCTGCCCTATCTAGAGTTTGTCTATTCCTCCCATCCCCCATCCCTATCCCACTATGAATCAGCCTCCTTATATCAGAGAAAACATTTGACATTTTTTTTTTGTGGGGGATTGGCTAACTTCACTTAGCATTATCTTCTTCAACTCTATCCATTTACCTGCAAATGCCATGATTTTATTCTCTTTTAGTGCTGAGTAATATTCCATTGTGTATATATGCCACATTTTTTAATCCATTCATCTATTGAAGGACATCTAGGTTGGCTCCACAGTTTAGTTATTGTGAAGTATGCTGCTATAAACATTGATGTGGCTGTGTCCCTGTAGTATGGTGTATTTAAGTCCTTTGGGTATAGACCAAGGAGAGGGATAGCTTGGTCAAATGGTGATTGCATTCCCAGTTTTCCAAGAAATCTCCATAATTGCTTTCCATATTGGCTGCACCAATTTGCTGTCCCACCAGCAATGTATGAGTGTGCCTTTTCCCT